AAAATTAAATGTTGAGTTTAAAAGGATATATGTTATAAAAAAATAAATTCAATCTAAAACTGGTGGAGTAAAGTACTCGCAGAATATGTAACTCTTGCTGTTTGTTGAAAAGACAGATTCATTCCTATAATATATCTGTACATTGCACAAAACGTACTATGAAAAAAAAAATTGTTTTGGACAGAGACATCAGAGTAAAAATTAAAAAAGAGAGGAAAAACTTATCACCTTAGGGAGAACTGATTTTGGAAAATTGGAACCCCAATACAAAAGAAAGGTTTGCAATTTCGCAGACATGTGAGAGCCCAAAATTCATCAAAACGAAACACTAAAGCCAGGAGGAGCCTTTATTCAGCAAAGTGGAGGCTCCAATTTTGAAGGGAAAAAAAAACAGAAAAAAAGAAAAGAAAACATACGTCTCCAATTCGACTGGTCGTTTTGAGGGGGTGCCTCTGACGCAGCCTCCTTCACATCTGCTACCAAAGCCAAACATCAAATACAAAATACGATTCAAATGATCAAAACAAAATTAGAAAAAAGCGAAATAAATTTGATAAAATAGTGATGCTTTGGGGTCAAAGGTGGAGACCTTTGGCAACAAATTGGATTTCGCCAGGAGGAGAGTTGAGGAGGAACCACTTCCCCATCGCAAAACAACATTGACTACATTAGACACTGACAAATGATCAAAATGGGTACAAATTTATTAATTAGAAAAAATAAAATATACGGCTGAGAGAACAAACCTCATTAGTGGCAAGCACTTGGCCATTGCTCTTCTTGACCTCTTCAGCTTCCTCAGGAAATACTTAATCCAAACAAATCAATCAACAATATTAAGTTTAACCCAAAATTCCCCACTGTATATTTGGGATCACAAAAGCCGAGCTAAGGCTAAGGATTATACCAGAACTTCGACTTGGCGCGAACCTCATTGGTGGCCCAGAGCTTCATTTGGTAAATCTTGGGGTGCTCATCAGATGCCATAGGGAGCTTCCTTATGCATATTACATATGCAATATTTGGCTAATCCATTTCACCAGTAGCCATATATTTAACTAAATAAACTATGTCTAAAACCAAATGGGTATTCTTCAAGAATAAAACCAACCTTCTTGAAGCATATCCATCTAAGTTATAATATGCAGCGGAAAAGAGAATAAAAAGAACCCCCTAGCATCCCAGTACCCTAACATGGAAAAAAATGCATAATTTAGAATTCTGTAACAGAAATTGTCTCATTAAATTAAACAGAAATACAAAACAGTGAATTTAGGGCTGAGATGTAATCAACTTATTGAAAAAAAAAATTGAGGATGAGAAAACGATTGACAAACCCCTTTGCTAGTCCAAATGCGGAACCCTACTTCGTTTTTTCTTGTAGCACCTTCAAAGTCAGTCAACATTCTGTGTTGTTCTA